CAAACCTTATTTTGGTCAAGTCAACTCTGTGACTTACTAGGATTCATGCCCCAAGGCCTCTTTGGCCTACCATTATATTTGGCCCCATTAGTGGAGAAAACTCTTTCACCACTAATGCCCAAAAAAGGGCGCATGGATCAAGTGGGCTTGGAGTCCCTACTCCAACCCAACTTGACTCATAGTCTTGACAAAGCCCAATAACTCACTATTGGTCCAAACTTGCTATAACTTGCAATAAAGAATAACCTTTGTGTGTGACCCATTAGGCCCAATTAGTTACTGACATAAATAAACTTGAACCAGTTAAACTCCTTTAAAAGGCCCAATCCATTTAATGACTACATGATACACTAGCAATGCTCTGTAGTCCCAGAACTAATTAAGTTGATCAAGTGATCTACCTTTCTGATTTGGATATCGTGCTAGCATTGTCCCTCACATCATCATTCACATTTAGTCGAGAGCAAGGATAGAGTATCATCTCTCTTTATTGACTAAATATAATATTTCACAGGAACTAGGAATCTTCTTCTATTGACTCTAAGATAGATCATGACTCCTCATGATCTCTTACTATGCATAGATTCCCGAGTCAACTAGAAGTCATCTCAGCCCTACCGGTCTTTGTGAACGACTAATCCCTTATAGGGGATTGTGAGTCCTTTCAGCATGTCCATATATACTCATGTATTCGAATTATACCCAAAAGTACACTGTTCTCCCCATTTTTCAGGCAGATAGAGTTGTACAGTCAAAGTATAACTTTAGGACATAATATTCGATGACATCCTTAAGTCTAGGACGATCTGCACTACCAAACGTTCAGAGACTTTACAAATCCAATGATACTCTCCATAATGAATCCTTGTGGAGTCTCTAAGCGGGTCAGTTCAGTGCTATCTGTTCTCCAACAGATCCACCCACGACATCAGCTAAGGCATCACCATGCCTGCATTCCATGAGGTCCCTACCTTGTATCTCCATACAAGTAGATGATGTCGTACTAGTCTTATTGAGATCACTAATACCCTTTCTTGGTGATTCAAGACCAGGAACAGATTTTAGGTAATAGACATTCAGTGTCCTCGAGTCCTCATGATCATGATCCCTATCATAGATCCCCGAGTGAACACCTGTTCTATTCCTAGGGTCTTTATCTTTAAACGCATATTAACAATAAAATATTGGCGAGACATAAATATGATAAAGATAAAGTTGCTCAAATTTATTAATCATGAAATACCAAATAGAAAAAGGTGTTCATATGATAAAACAGATTGTCTCTAGGACGCCTATATACTAACACGTGGAGGGCCTATATCAAAGTTTTCTAACTTCCCAACGGGGAGACTAGCCACATTGTCTGTACTCATCTCGGACGTGGTGTTTAGAACTTCATAAGTTACCTAGGAAAACTAGGATACCAAGGAGGCTGGAGGAGACTCAGAACATGACTCGGCAGAACCTGACTCTTCTACAACCTCTGGGGGAGATGCCATAAATACCTAAAACAATAAAAGAACTTAATCAGAAGGACATAATAGGCATACCTGAATCAGAAATGCTACTAGATGAAGAATCACTAGAAGATGAACAAGTCGACTTCTCCGAGATTGTGATTGGGTCATTTGCCTCACCAGATGCCGAGGTAGATCCCGAAACATCTCCATGCTGGAAACTAGCCAATGTAGACTCGGCCAAAGAGTCACATCCTTGTTCAATAAGTTTGGAACTCAGAAAAACACAAGAATAACACGGAACGGTTTTTTGGATACGAAAAGACTGTGGGATATCCCGGTTGTCTAATGGAAGACCAGGCTTTGCTACAAGTGAATTACTGGAGGGCTTAGAACCGGTTTGGGGAAAATGCTGGGGAATACGTCTGCTCACAGAAAGACGACTCCTACCCCGGGTGGATGAACCTCTACCCCGTCTTTGCCCTAATTCTCTGTTGGACAACCCGGATCTCCTCTAGGATCTACCACCGCGGTAGCCACGAAGTATGGCTTCACGTTCTTCCTCTTCAGTTCTTGGAATCCCCCACAGCCAAAAACGAGCACCAGGGGGAATCGTTTTCAAAAATTCTGAATTCTCCTCCTTCTTTCCCTCACAATGCAGAACTGAAGAAGGGGGTTTTTTCCCCCTCATTTTGTTAAAAGTTCCAAATGACACTAAGTTTTGAAGGAACAGAGGAAAAATGACAAACAGAGGGTGACGCACACTAAAATGCCAAAAATGAACCAATATGCAACACCCTAGAAACACTGAGCATTGGCACAACAAGAAGGAAAACCAACCCCCAAATAATTTTCCAGAATAACGTATGAAGAACAACAAACTTAAAATAGAAATGGCAAGTGTCTAAAATGCAGACAGCCAAATGCAGACATTCTGAAAAAGAAGACGAAGAAGAAGATAAGGCAAGTGTGAAGGAAAGTGGTAATACCTGAGTAAAGAAGACGAAGAAGAAGACGAACTTGAAAAACACGCAGAAAAACACTTGCGGATGCTAGCGCTCAAAGGATTTAGGGAAAAAATTTCTCTAGAGATAAGCAAAGTAAAGAACGAAATGGGGAAAAGGTGCGTACTTAGATAGGCGCAAGTGTAACTGCAACGGTTACGAATGGCAAGGGTCAGGGGCAACAATGTCGTTTCACTCGTGAGAGGTAACCCCAGCGGTCATGGCAAGAGGCAGGGGTACCAGCGTCATTGCACTCAAAAAGGCAATGATTAGATGCCTGAAATGACACTCCTAATCAATGCGCACAAAATGCTAAAATAGCATAAAACGGTTGCAGCATGCTAACACACACGACCAGTAGCACGTGTCAGAATGAAATGATTACTGATGTTAAGTCTGCATGTAAAGTTCAAGACACGTCTACACAATAACTTTTAGCCGGTTACATGCATGACGCTTGGGGGCAACTCGCCAGTTGGATCCCAACAACTCAAGCTCATTTCTAACTCGGCCACGCCTGTAAGCATCTTGCCGGGTTCATGCAGATCCCGCCCATATGGGGCGGAGAGAAATCATTCCCGTTTGCAAAAGAAAGCTACAAGCACAGAACATGTGCGTAAGGAATGATACTTGGGGGCAACTTGCTAGTTGGATCCCAGCTGCTCAAGCTCATTCCTGACTCGGTATAGGGAATACGTAAGATATCTCTCCGGGTTCATGCTCAACCCACCGAGATAAGGGCAATGAGGACCCCGATTGAAAAATCCTAAGATGCAAGGAACATGTATGCAAAAAGTTTACAAAAACTCAAACACCCTCAGCTCAGCAGCAAAATGCAAGGAAATTCACCCTGGCAACCTGAACACCCAAGTAGCCTAGCTGAGGGGCAACTGTTATGGACCCATATAAGGGGCCCTATTGAATGACAGGCCTAATAAGGGGCAATCCAAGATTTAAATCAAGTATAATTATGGATAGTATACATCAAGGATATTAATCCTAATACGACAGCGTAGCAGACATGCCTGGGCCCTCATTAGAGGTAGGTACTAAAGGTCCAAATCACATTACCCACAGGTAACCTCTATAAATAAAAGGTAAACCCTAAAGGTACGTTACGCTCTCTCTCTTATTGTTATGTTGTCACTGTGCGCACACACATACCCCATTGGCAAAAGTCGTTATTAGTTCGTTGTGTACAGTGATCTGCTTGACTCAAGGGTATTTCCTTCATAGATACCTTAGAGAGGGCACTAGATCCAAGATCAACATACTAGCCTATTGGACTGGACATTTCTGTCTCCTAGACAACAGAATACAATCTCTATGCTTACCACTACTAATAATGCAGCTCGATAGCCTAGCCAGAGTCTAGAATTCGAGCATATATGACAAAAGAATGGAACGTATGTCTCCACCAAGTTCATCATGAGGGTAATACATGTGCAGGTTGGCTTGGGAATGATGCCGTTTACATGGGCGAAAGGCTACTATGAATACCAGCATATGCCTCTGGACATCAATTTTCTATTTTCTGCATACTTCTTAGGAGTCCATAGCTTTAGTTTATTAAACTCTCTTAATTTATTTTGTTTTTGGCCTTTGGCCCTCCTAATTACCCCAAAAAAAATGAAGGTAAGATGGACAGATGTGAAGAAAATATATACAAAGTGTACATTAACGTTGCAATCTTAATGTCTCATTAATCAGCTTAAATCAAGTTTCCAATCTTACATGACTATTTCCTTCATTTTCTTTCTAGTCTTTTCGGATGATTTGATAAGAAGTACACAAATCAATTTTTTCCGCCTGTATTAATACATCGCAAATTTAGTTATAATTCTTGATAAAAACGATATTTTCACATTTGTAAATTTCATTTTGCGATCCTGCAATTGGGTCCCTAAATCCAACAAGGAATCTATTTATATTATGTGAGAATTCAGAAAAGAAAGAAGTCATCATACAACCGAATTTTATTTTATTTTTAAAAAGTATATCTCATTTCGAAGGCTTGGGCAAAATCCTAACAATTCAGCTTGATGCCCACCTTTACATGAATAATGAATATCAACTACCACCACCGACTATACTTGCATCAAACAAATTTTCAAAATAAAAATAAAAATTAAATAAAGGTATCGTTGAATCTAATCATAATTCAAATCATCAGATCGAATTACCACAAATAATATTACTGTAAACAACAAAAGTAGTCCCATATAACTCCTTGTCTGTTGCACTGCAAAGCTGATATCATAACGACCACTATGAATATCACAATCACAGACAACATGCCCACAGCAATCATTACAACATCATCACTACCATTGTCATAATCATGTTGCCATTGGACTAGCATCGAAACAGTAATAAGTGTTTATTAATATAGAGTGACGATGATAAGAAGCAACAACCTTCAACAAGCATCATCTAACTAGCATGATTGGGAAGGGAATTTAGCTACAAGACAAGACACCCAATGTTTCATATCTTAAGATGCAATGTCAAACACATAAGCGGTCACATGACTAAAAAATTAAACGAAAATGACATCTCAATTAAGATTTTCAGTGATAGTGACATACTGAAATGATACGGAGAAAGACCAAGTATATCCATGATCAACAACAACTTAAACCATAAATAGAAAAACCTACTGTTTTTTCAAGTGCATGCAACAAATCCACAATTAGTAGAGACAGAAATTTTCCATCAAGTAGCTAACATTAATTAATAATCTATTCCTTGGAAGACTTGTTGATAAGAGACTTGTGAATGTGAGGAATTACTCCTCCACCAGCAATTGTTCCTTTTATCAGGGTATCCAACTCTTCATCTCCCCGGATTGCAAGCTGTAAATGCCTGGGAGTAATACGTTTAACCTTGAGATCCTTGCTAGCATTCCCAGCCAGCTCCAATACTTCAGCAGTTAGATACTCCAAGATAGCAGCAGAGTATACAGCAGCTGTGGCCCCAACTCTTCCATTAGCTGTTGTCCTTGACTTCAATAGCCGGTGGATACGGCCAACTGGGAACTGCAGATACATTATAGAAGAAGCTCATGTAAGATGAGAACATACTGCTTGCTAGTCATTTGCCTAAGACATCAATAGTTAATGCAGACTATATGCTAGCATGTTGTGCAGAATTATAATAAAATGATTGGGGTAAATTGATAAGTTTAGAGGGGTTAAAGTCATATTTCATGAGAAAGAACTATGAAGGGGACTATGAAAATGTTGTGGGCATGACCCCTAGGTATATGTAGATTTGCACGCTACAGAATAAATATCTTGAATAAGACTATTGTCATTAATAGTGAGTAGTTACAGTGACTAGCTACAATCAACTAGCTAGCAAGAAGGGACTGATTTCAATTTTCAAACCCAAAGGTTACCTAAAACAGTGCCCTCAATCACGCAGGAGGCAAAAGAACCAAACAGATAGTTCATATCACAATCACACCTATGATGCTTTAAGAATTTATATAACAAAAATTAATTGGAAATGAAAAAAACAAACAAAAGACCTACATCATGTAATTAGTTTACATGATGTAGGATGGGTTTCCTTAAGCTATATACTACCTACCCTAAAACATCAGCAGCCGAAAATTCACAGGTTTGATTGGGCTCAAGTTGCCTTACTAGGGTACATGGAGAACTTCAAACGTGTCAACATGTCTGTATGCTTTAAGTAGTTTTAAAATAATAATCCAAAAGTATAAACATGCAGATATTGAAACAGAACTATGTTACATGATCAGAAAAATTTGACATAGTTCAGTCAGAATTGACAATGACTCAAGAGTGATGGTTAGATAACTCGTAATGATAAGAACAAGTGATCTATTGAAGATTTAATAATACTGGCAAAAACTAAACAGAAATGAGTGCTAGAGCGTTACCAATTATTTTTAGCAGACAAGTAATTAATTAAAATATACTCTGTTATTCATTAACGAAATAATGGCTCACAGTGTTATGTAGAATATGTTGTCGTGACTGAGTATGTTGTAATCAAACTCCGTATGGCACCTATTAAAGCTTCAAGCTGATAATATGGGTTTAACATAGGGGTGGACACGGTTCAGTTCAATTCGGTTTTCTATGCCAATCCAAACCGAACCTGTATTAGTGGTTGAGTTTGGAAACCAAATCGGTATTAGTGGTTCGGTTTCGGTTTTAGTGGTTCGGTTTGATGAACCAAATTGGTTAACTTTTTTGCGAACCGGTTTTGGATCTTAATCGGTCTAAAACTAGTTCAAAACCGATTTTAAGGCAAAAAATTAAAACAATAATAAATAAAAAGATTAAAAAAGAAAGAGAGCGAACTTGGAGCAATGGTAAAACTATTCATTTGTGACCGAAAAGTCATGGGTTTGAATCTAGGAAACAACCTATTTGCAATTATCCAAGGGTAAGATTGCGTATAAGGATTGCCCTCGCCCCACCCTCGCTAGTTGGGATTTCATGGAGAGTGGTTTTTTAATAAATAATTAAAATGCAAGGAAAAGAGAACTGGTTTGATTGTTTTGGTTCTTGAAATGGTTCGGAAAAAATAGTTCAGTCCTTGATCTGGTTCGGAAAAAATGATTTGATTCTTGAACCAATTTGAAAAATACAAATCTTTTGGTGCAATTTGGTTCAGGTCAGTTCACAGCCAGGTTTGGTTTCTTTTGGAATTTTTTGCGCATACTTAGTTTAATATTTCTTCCGGAGATCAAGTTATTTGACATGAGTGGTGTCCTTTCTTCTCTCTCTTATCCTGAGAGAACCCATCCACTCCCCTCTATTATCCTGTATATGCGAGATAACTTTATCTCACACTTATGAAAGAAACATTAAACTCATGTATAAAACTGTTTAAAACCACTCCCATTAAACCCGAGTTCAGAGAGTAGGGTGAGGAAAATCATGTTTTAACAAAAAGGCTATTTTGTTAAAGTCGAACCCTGAGCTTTCATTCACAATTAACACTGCTCAAAGCTCGCCTCTGTTTAAGGAGATAAAAAATATCCCAACTTGAACCTTCCCCCCAGTTCAAATGTCCTACAGGATTCACTGAATGTCAATGCACAACAAACAATGGCTCACATTGTACTACCACAATAATAAGGCTAAAAAAAATACAAAAATTTACAAAATGAACATGTCGAATTTTTAACCCCGTAAAATGTGATAAAAGGCAATCAAAATAGATAAAGGAATTCGAAAGAGAGGGAGATCTAAGAGAGAGAGAGAGAGAGTGAGAGGACCTGAAGACCAGCACGAGAAGAACGCGAAATGGGTTTCTTCTTGTCCTTGTCTTTGTTGGTGGCAGATGCTTTGCCTGTGATCAAACCCTTCGCCCCCTTCCCCGACATCTTTTACCGCCAAAACTCTAAGATGTTCTATACACTATTAAGAGAGAGAGATTTTGGAAAGAGAAGGCGAAGGCAAAACCCGGTCTCAAACTCAGGGAGAGGTAATCTTATAAACGAAACGAAGAAAGAAATTGAGGTAGTTTCTTAGTCCTGCCTCCCACGCCTATCTTTTTCTTGTACCCATTCTCTGACCCTCCTACTTTCTTCTAATTACATCTTGTGCCCTCTTCTTTAATTTTGAGGTCTTTAATTTTGTTTAATGAAATTACATAGTAAGTCCGCGTTAAAAGAAACAAAATATAAAAATATAAAAATATAATTATTAAATTAAATTTATAATCAAAAATATTTTGACAATGACATATATCATTTTTAAGGGAAAATAAATTAAGAGATTAAGATAATTTAAAGATATCTAATTTACATATAGTAATAGATTACTCGAAAATATATAACACTTTGTATAACCAATATCTATATATAATCTTATTTAATGGATATTTGATATTTGGTTAAACAAATAAACAAGGAATAAGCATATAAATTAGGAATTGATAAGTAAACGATTAAGGGGATATTTAATTAAGATTTTAAAAGAATTTTATTAAGATTATTTTTTAATAAAAACTTTTATTGGTGTTTAATTAAATTTTTAAGTGATTTAAAAAAAATCATGTTCTATTCAATCAGGATAATTAAGAATTTCTTTAAAGGTGATAAATCATGTTCTCCTTATAAAAAATAAAAATTGTCTTTTTTTTTTTTTTTAACAAGATCGTATCCTATTTAATATTAAGGAAGAATCTAATTAGTTTATTTTTTGTTAGTTATTATATTTATCACTTCTTTTATAACACTTTGGTATTTATTTTATTATATTTACAATTATTTGAACGGATACACACTAAAGTTTGTTTTTTGTTTTTTTAGTACATACACTAAAGTTTTAGGATAATGTACTTTAATGGAATTCAATTTAATGCGAGAGAAATAATATTCTTGAATTTTTTATGGGTAATAGGTTACTCATTCTTGAAGTTATGAAGTACTTATAAGTTATAAGTCGTTTGTTAAAAGATTAATGAAAATCTTTTACCAAAAAAAAAAAGATTAATGAAAATAGAAACCTTTTAAGCAAAAATATAGATATTTACGAGGTTCGCTTGGGTCCTTGACATTATGGGTGTTAACGGGCCGAGCCGAGCCGAGCTTTGATCTTAAAAGACTAAGTCTGTGTTTAAATGTGTCAGCCTGACCAAGGCTATTACCTATTATGGATATAATTGTCGGCCTGTAGCATGACTTATTTACAAAAAATAAAAGTCTTGTTTAGCATGTTAGCCTGTTTTAAAAAAATAAGATAATAAAAATTTATCCAAATAAAATATACAATCAACAACATTAGTAATTTCATAAATATCCATAAATTCAATGTATATCCAAATAGCATAATATAGAATGTTTAACCAATAAAATGAGGTGCAATAGATTAAGGAGAGAGAGAAAGTTATTACAAGTAGTACAAAAAATATAAAATAAAAATAAAAATTAATATACTAGGTCAGCCTGAGAGGCTTTAAGGTCGAGCTTTTGAATTGGAGCCTGGGTCCTTTTTATTAAATGAGCTTTTATACAAGTTCAAGCCCGATTGCAACAACCAATTTTAGACATATAAGCTCAGGCCTTCACGAGCAAAAACCCTGGTTTGTTTACTACACCTACTTGACATAACGTTGAGATTGACGTAATATTTTGTCATTTTTGAATCCTTAACATGTGCTTTAAGATACTTATTAGCATTTGCTTTCTTTTATTCACATTAAATTGGGGCAAATATAACTTTTTTACTTTTTTGCTGCACTGATAGGCAGGATTGGCCCCAAAATTTAAGATCCACTTAAATTCGGAATCAAATTATACATTCCTATTAAAATTAGCATGACTTAAATTTTATGCTAGAAATTCAATAGCTCCAGATAACATATGTATATAATTACCATTTTAATTTTTTTTTAATTTTCACCTTAGGCAATTTAGTATAAATAACAATAAAATCTGGTTTTTCATATGCAGTGTGATGGGACGAAAATTCGTTCCCATCTAAGCTCATTTTGATGGTAAAATTCCATATGTTCCTTCATTTGGTGATCAATTTTGGCCTCAATAGCACAGTTCTAGAACTTAGGAACAAAGGCACTAGAAAATGGGAACATATCGATTCATTAAATACACCTGCTCCACTAACTCGATCTCTCTGATCACTTTGCAGGAAACGTTGAAAATGAAGCTTCCAAAAAGCAGAAAGAGGTACAACAATCAAGCAGGAAGAAACATGTATAGCAGAGAATAAAGAGTTACCATTGGGTAAGAGGAAAAGCAAGCATAGGAAGTGCAGAAAAAAGGCAAATCTCAACAATAAGTGTCCCATCCAGCAACTTGCTTCCCAAAAGAGCACTGCTCATACCGCCTCCTCATGCATTCAAGAAACAACTCAAGTTGGAATTACAAGTTTTGCCATCCACTCTTCTAACCTATAAATAGGACGTTCCAACATGAAGAAAGGATCGAATTCCTTAAGAAAAGATTATTTAGGATAGTTTCAGTTTCTACTTTTCAGTTGTATAGTTTTTAGCAATAGTTAAGTGACAGCAACCCTTCCTCAATTCTATATCTTCCATTTGAGACTCCTTACGAGCAACTACCATACTTCTCCATTTTATTTTCTTGTGATCTAATATTGTTTCTTATTAATATAAGTTGTTATTTCTCTTCTCTTCCAGTCATTATCTCTGAACTGAATCTCGGGTCTATGAGACTTCAGTTTGGAATAATTATGTTTATAGTTATAGGCATGGGCTAAGTTATTTGTGGAACGAAAAAGCTATGAAGTTCTTAAAGAACTACATTCAAAACTTTTGCATTGAAGCTTTTGTATTTCTGTGATTTAAGTGGGCTTTATTCTTTGTGTATCAATGGAAATTGAACTCAATCTGAGAAAGGAACTTCCATAAGGAAGGGATTTCAGAGAACTTAATCAGAGAAGGAAGGTAGTATTGTTTAAACAACACTACTGGTTGCCTTAGGAATAAGGAACCACCTCGTTCACTGAAGGTTCTGAACTTAGTAACTATTAAATTCAAGGGAGCCATAGGAATATGAAAACTTGTGAGCCATTAAAGTACATGAGCTGAGGAATCAGAGTTGGCAGTGAAAAGTCTTGAACAAATTCATAAGGGTTAAGTCTTGAGTTGAGAATATAGTCATTTAAGAATGAAACAGAAGATCCGTTCCTTGTGTTAAAAACTATTTTTAACCATCCATCTTGTTGTCTCTTAAATATTATTATCTTGTTGTTATTTTCTTTCATAAACCTTTTGACTATAAAATCAAAACTTCAATGAATCTTGTTGTTCCTTCTCACATCAAGAAGGATTTGGTATATAACGACGCGAGGAGTTGTTTGGAGTAAGACTGAACTTAATATCTTTAAGGAACGTTTTCAAGATAGTAGGGAACGAATGACCAAACAGTTCAAATACTGTCTTTTCTTTTCATGATAATTCTTTGTAAAATAGTTTAAGATATTATTTAGAGTTCTATCCTCGTGGGAACAATAATCTGGGCATTAATAATCCCATTTATTACTTTATGCGTGCACTTGCGCAACTGGGTTGATATCAAGAGAACAAATGCATTTTCTCTTGATGGACTAAGGAAAAGGAACGTCCTTAAAAGAACATCTAAGCAACCAACAAGTTCACACCCAACAAGTTTTTGGCGCCGTTGCCGAGTATAGTTTACACTAAATTTTTCCTTAAACTATTTTATTTTATACTTTGTTAATATATCATTCGTTATTCTTTGATATTTACTCTGTTGTTTATACTATTTATGTTTTATGGTTTATGAGTGAAGAATCTGAAACTAATTCTCACTATTCCACTGAGATACCTGAGTTTTTCTTTGACCCTGAACCAGAACGCACTTTTCACAGGAGAAGAAGGAATCTAAGAGAAAACATTTTTGAACCAAACATGGCTGACCATAATAATAATGAAGAGATTCCTCTTGAACAACACTTCAGAGCTCTAGCTGCTCCTTCAAGAAACAGACCAGAAAGAGGAGTAATCCTCCCTCTTATTATAGCTCCTAACTTTAAGTTAAAGCCTATCATGTTTAATATGATCAGGGAAGCTAGAGTTTTCAATGGACTCCCTGCAAAAGATCCCTACACACACCTTAATAATTTTTAAGACATTTGTGATAATTTTAGAACCAAAGGTGTAATAGAAGAGAGTATGAGAATGAGGTTGTTCCATCACTCTTTGGGATCAAAAGCCAAGACTTGGATGAAATCTCTCACCCTGGATCCATAAACTCGTGGGAAGAACTATCTAACAAGTTCATAGAGAGATTCCTCCCTATGTCCCGTCAAGCTGATGTCAGAGCAGAGATCTCTAGCTTCAGAATGTTTTATAGAGAGAACCTCTATGAAGCATGAGAGAGATATAAGGACATTATCAGGAAATGTCCTAACCATGGGGTTGAGAAATGGGGAGTCTTACAGTCTTTCTATAAGGGAATTGACCATACTTCTCAATCACATTTAGATTTTACTGCAGGAGGATATTTTTTTACAGGAACTCTTGAATCCAGATATGAAATCATAGAGAGCACTGCAGAATGTTGTCTTTAGTTGCCACTAGAAAGGATGAATCCAGTCAGGAGACCAGGCATACTAGAGTTGGACAAACAAACTGCCACAGAAGCCCAACTGGGTGCACTGATGAATGAAGTAAAGAATATTAAAGCTGACAAAGAACAACCAATAGTTTATGTCTTACAACTCACAGCCCCTGAAATTGAACCATGCTCAGCATATGGTGATCATCATGACTCAACAGACTGCCCTTCCACAACCTTAGTGTGTTATGCTGAAAATTTTGGGAACAGAAACTTCAATCAGACCAGACAATCAAAATGCAGGACGCAACAATAATCAGAATTCTTGAGGCACCATATAGAAGGATCAGAACCATAACCCTCAGTGGAGACCTCCCATAAACCAGAGACCATATAACAATCAACAATAACAATACCAGCAAAGCAACAATGGGGGAAATGGAGCATA